AATCCTTGCTGGGAATTTTCATAGGAAGGCTTTCTAGATAGAGACAGAAGTCATTTTAGGAAAATGTAAGCCCCCAAAAGCCTCTAAATAATTGAAGCCCAAAATCACTTATAGAGCTCCAGTAGTGTAATCTAAAGTCATAGATCTCTTATTTACTAGAAAATGATTGCTTATAGGGAATTTCTATTGCTTCTGCTTAGAAAGCCATCCCTACGTCTGTTCCACAGGTCAGCCCTCTTGACACCTGATCCTGAGCTCATTCTTCTATACACTAAAATGAAGGCTTTGGACTTGAATTTCAGCATCTTCCATGTTTCAAAGAAACCTAGATTCTCAAAGTTACAAGGGTCGGAATCCCAGAATCTCAGGTAGCTGAGAGGGGATCTAGTCCAAAATGTACCAGACTAAAAATCTTTTCACAACATCCTTGACTAGAAGTCATCCAAGATCTAATTTAATACCTGGAGGGAAAGAGTTCTGGCCACCTCCTGCGGTAGCCCAAGTCACTTTTGGACAGCCCCAGTTATTAGGAATCTGCCTCTGTGCAACCCCATCCTCAGGAAGCCCCTCCCCAACATAGTTCCTTCTCTGGGGCCAAGAAGGACATATTTAATCTCCTTTTCCATGTGACAACCTCTCAGATACTTGATGATTAAAAGCAAGTCTTCAATAAATCTTCTCTCTTTCTTCCTTCAGGCAATGTATCCTCACTTCCTTCAACCTTATGCAGTGGTCCCTGGTAACTCGACCCTTTTAAGATATAGTCTCTAGTCCCCTCACCATCTTAATCATTCTCCCCTAGACAAAGGACATTTAATCAATGTCCTTCCTCAAATCTGGTATACATAAATAAAACCCAGTAAAATGGCTTGAGTTCACCGAGTCCAGCCACTTTCAGAATCAGGAATCCCCTATGCTGAATCTTAGATGTATGGTCATCCAGTATTTGTTTCCTGTCTTTAGGACAGGAGTTAGACTAGAAACTAGAATACCTGTCCAGAAACTAGAAATGCCACCTGTCAACGTAGTCCAATCCATGGTTAAACAAAACTAGTTGTCATTAAGACCTTCCTTCTATTGAAGTGAACTCTGCCTTCCTGACACTTTTCCCACTTGTCCCAGTTCTGACCTTAGGAGACAAACAAACCATGTCATACCTATGGTTTTCAATCAGGGGTGAGCTGACAAATATTTAACAGTCAACTCTCCAGGGGGAAAATAGATGACACATAGTTTGCATAATTAGCATCTCCATCATTTTCTTATGTGTAGAAAGTCAACAAGATAATAAATCAAGCCCCGATTTGTAGCTTTTGCCAATTTCTGACATGGAAATGCTCATGCTGAAAATTTAACAATCTGCTCTTCTCAGTCAGTACAAGCCAATTCTCACAGAACACTTGCATCAAACAATCTCCCTCCAGGAAGCCTGGTAATATCTCTAAAAGTTGGGCCAGGGGCTATATTCCAGGAGTTATTTGTCTGTGCTTATCTAAGTAAACTCTAAATTATACCTGCTGCCACTCAGTGCTGTAAGATCCAGGAATGACTACAGAAAGTAGTTTGCAAGTTAATTCAAAAAGTGGTGCTGGTGGTGAGGAACCCAAAAGATTTCCTTAGCTCAAATTCCAGCTTGAGCTAGAGTTCTATTCTTGACTGTCTCTTCTCTTCCATTCTGTTAGACGGACTCCGCAGTCACATTCTTGCCCCATCCTCACCCTCAGAAACTCTATCCTCCTTAGGGTTTAGGTATAGCTGTGACTCAGTGACACCATCAGCCTCAGAGGCATTTGGTTGGGTGCCACTTTGGATCTGCTAATGATAAAGGATCGTACTTTCTGAGTAAACTACTTTGGACTGAAACAAGATCCTAAGCCATGATCTGTGGCTGACTTCCCAAGCTAGAGGAATTGACGGGCCCACTGAACAGCCAGAATGTCAGCTGCAGGAGCCCTAGATGGAGCCACTTAAATAGCTCAGGCAGCTTGGATTTCCCCCATATATTTAGCCATGATCATTCATAGGTTGAGAAAATAATAGAACTGTTCTCTTTTCCTTACATGCACTCCCCTTCCCATCCACACCTGTTAAAATCATTCTTTTGAAGACTTAGTCAGGGACCCACCTCTTTTGTGAAGTCTTCCTAATCCCCCCTACTTGAATGTATTTTTTCCCTCCTCAAACTATCTTAAACAATTAGTCTGGACCTCTTCTCTACTCTCTAGCCCCATCACACTCTTCCTTGAATTTTATTGTCTAGATACATACCATATCCCTCTTAATAGAATGTAAACCCCTTGAAGGCAGGAACTGTTTTGTTTTTCACCCTTTTATTTCCAAGGTCCAACAGTGCATTATACATAATAGGCATCTAATAAATATTTCTTTAATTAAATACTCAAATATAGACTGTTAGAGTCAAAATAGAGTTTAGACATCATCTGGCCCAACAAATTTTGTGGATTTCATTTTACAAATGAGAAAACTGAGTCCCAAAGAGAGTAATTTATTTACCCAAGATCTCACAGTGTCAAAGTCATGTTTTCTGACTCAAAATCCAGTACTTTTTTCACTGTTTCTACTTTGGGAAGACTATCCAGGTCAGGGTAATGTTTGAATAAATGTGGAAAGGGATTAGTCAATCTATCTTGGATGACCTAGAAGTAATTACAGTAATTGTGCCTTCCAACTCATAAGGTTGTTTCAAGGAAAACACTTTGGAAATTTTAAGTACTCTGTAAATGTAAAATGTTAATGATGATGATGAGTGATGCTGCTGCCTTGAAGCGGATGAATGAATGAGATGGTCCTTCAAAGATAATTTCCATACCACCTACTATGACTAATTCTCCTCCTCTTCCTCATCATCACAGCTATATGAACAATTTGTGCTTTATAAAGTGCTTTCCTCATAATACCACTATGAGATAAGTTGTTATAAAACATGGTTTTCATTTTACAATTGAGAAAACTGAGGTTAAGAGGGTTAAATGACTTCCTGATTGTCATGCAGGCAATAGTAGAGTCCAAAATATTTTGAAACCAGATATTTTGACTCCAAATGGGTGCCTTTTCTAGTATATTTTTAGGGGTGATAGAATAGAGGTTGCCAAATCTTTTATGATTCAAGATTATAAAATTTCAAGAGACCTTTGAGATTATCTAGCCTAACCTTCTACAAACGTAGTGCCAAGCACCTGGTAGACACTTAATAACTGCTTGTTGACTGACTTATTGACTGTTGACTGATGAAGGGTTATTCTCTATAGTACCTTGTTCTACCTGCTTAGAGTGGGGGTGCCCCCATAGAAGGAGTGTTGAACTTGGAATCAGAAGAACAACATTCAGACCCTAGGTTTACTGCTTACTACTGCCCATGTGAAATTGGACAGGTCACCCAACCTTCTTGGGCCTCACTTTTCTTATATGTAAAATGGAGCAAATGGAACTGTGTTACCTCTGAAGTCCTTTTTAGCTTTATATGTCACCTTGTAAAATTCACCCCCCCTGTAATTTCTATCTCATTCTGGGCCCAACAGAATGAGTCAGTTCTTTCTTATGTATAACAGCCTTTCAGAAACATCAAGACTTTTCAGTGTCAAAATATCCTTTGCACCCCTTCTTTCATATAAGATTCAGGTTTTGTATTTGGAACACAGAGCCTTTTAAGGGCAAAATAAACCCTCCTGTGCTATAGTCCTTGGGAAGAACTATCACGGGTAAAATATTAGGCTAGAAGGATCACAGAACTTGGGCTTTAGACTTGGAAGGGAGCTTAGGTGTTGTGTAGTCTTGACCTAAGCTCCAGAAGGAATAAAGTGCCTGTTCTTTTCTTAGCTCAGCATCGATGCCCGAGCATGGTCTGCAATAATGTAACTGGGCAGGTACTGGGGAATGATCACTGCTTTTGCCCATGTTACACTCAACTCAAGCTGGCATCTTTGGGAAGTGAATCATTTCCTTAAGTCTTGTGATTTCCTCCAGACACTTAATGTGCTCAAAACTCATTATCTTTCCCCATAAATGCTCCTCCCCTCCTACTTTTCCTATTACTGTCAAAGTCAACACCATCTTCCCAGTCCCTCAGGTTTGCAACCTAGGGGTCATTCTGGATTCCTCACCAACTCTCACCACCCCAAATCCAAGCTGTGGCCAAGCCTGCTGATTTCACCTTTGCAGCATTTCTTGTATACACTCCTTACTCCTCTCCTCTGACACTGCCACCACTCTAGTGCAAACCCTCATTACTTCACACCTGGTCTATTGCAATAGCCTGCTGGTGGGTCTGCCTGTTTCAACTCTCTTCCCACTCTAATCCATCTTCTACTCAGCCACTAAAATGATTTCCCTAAAATGTTGGTCTGATCATGCCCCATCCCCCCAGTCAATAAACTCCAGGAGCTCCCTATCACCCTTAGGACTGAATACAAAATGTTTGTTTAGCATGCAAAGTCCTTCATGACCTGGTCTGTCCCATCTTCTTACACTTTACTTTCTGACGTGTACTCTTGGATTCAGTGACAATGACTACATGGCTGTTCCACAAATAAGATACTCCATCTCTTAGCTATTCCCCATGCCTGGAATGCTCTCTGCTCTGACTACTGATGTCCCTAGCTGAAATCACAACTGTGGTACTCAAAATGACATGTTAAGCAATGATAACTGGTATGTCAATATGCTTGATTTTATTTAACCCTTATGATAGCACAATGAGATAGGTGCTATAATTACCCCACTTTTCAGATGAGAAAATTGAGGCTGAAAAAGGATAAGTGACCTATTTAAGATCACACAACTGGTCATGCCTTGGGTAGGATACAAACCTGTCTCTTTCTTTTTCCAAACTCAGTGCTTCCTCCACTGCATCACAAGAGATGCAACCAAAGCATTTTGTGGACAGACAGTGCCATGGATTTAGAAGAATTCATATGCCCAGCCCGGTTGACTGTGTGCCCTTTGGGTTGGTAATTCTGTCTTTTCCTTCTGTCCTTCTGCAGATGTGCTGTGCCCCAGTGTACGTGTGGAAGGAGATCGTTTTAAGCACACCAATGGAGGAACCAATGAAATCACAGGTATGAGAGAAATTGTATGGTGACTTAAATCTGATCTTAGAAATGGTAACTTATTCTCCTCTATGCTGCTCTGGGGAGGGCTTCCATTTTGCAGTGTACCTCTCCCAAAGCCAGCAACGAGTTTATTTCCCTTTTCTTGGAATTCTCCCTAAGTCATTCTTTTCTCTTCACACACCCCAAACATTCACCTTTCAAAGGACTCTCCAACTATGAGGGTCAGAATTTTGCATGATATGATGTCGTATGCAGATAAAAGGTATCTCTGGGATTCCCACAAGGTGAGTCTCCTTTTACTGAACAGATATGCACTTTGGAAAGATGTCTGAAAATAGATACTTTTTTCCTTTTTAACAGAAATCCTTTTTTTCCCCAGTAACTTATATCTTAATTTAAAGGTGCTGATTCATCATTTCTAATTGATCTTCAAAGAGCAGAAATTCCTAATACTTTAGTTTTTAGTGTCTCTAGCTTCCTAGTTTGGCAGATAATTGCTTGTAAAGAAACATTTGCTTGTACCAAAGAGCTGTTATTTATAGGAAATGGTGAATATTTTTGTAAATTAATGTAAGGGTACAATTACTCATTTCAGTACCTCATGCATATTTTATAGTTACTTCTAAGTGATGCAAGGTATCATTACTTCAAGACTTTAAGAATTCATAGTTTCATTCACTCTCAGTCATCACAGATCCTAACACTCCCATCCCTCACCCCCACCCACCTGAGAAGATAGACTGCATAAATTGCTATGCATGCAAAATTCATCTCCTGATGGCCAAACATCTGAGGATAACCTTGTCTCCAGTTAACTAGGTTATTCCTTAGATAAAACACATCAAGTAAATCAATAGGACTGGGTCACCTCTCCCTGGAAACTAGTCAGGAGATTTTGCTAGGAACAAAAGTATAGAGGAGAAAGAGAAGGGGAGAGTCTAGAAATTTGCTTTCCTCTGTTATTCCACAGAATATGAGAGCAGGTGGAGGAGAGGGAAGGGGGGCCTCAGAGGTCATCTCAAGCAACTCCTTGACCATTAAGAAGCCCTTCCCTGCATCAACCTAAATCTATATCTCTATAAGAGCCTCTGTGGAGGATTAAAGGGATGATAGGAACTAGGAAAGAGTTGGGGAAGAGAGTTACACAAAATTAGAAGGGCGTCAATGTACTGCAGAATATACTATTGGAGGGAGTGCTCCACAGGGAGGAGATCATAGCTATAGTGATGTAATGAAATTATTAGACTCTATAAAGGAAGAAAGGTAATATGCATAGTGATAAAGAGCCAGACTCAATTCCAGGAAGAGTTGGGTTTATCTCCTACTTCTGACACATACTGGCTATATTACCCTGAGAAATTCATGTAACCTCTCAGTGCTCTTGGTAACCCTAGTTTAAGACAATACATTATGGAGAAGGTGCTTGCCTGCACTGGTAGAGAGAATTTCCTCATTGGTAGATCTCTGTATCAATGAATTCACAGGTCTAGACCTTTATGCCTTCTTTCTGTTTAAGATGCCCAGTGCCTTTTTCAAGGTCTTCTACCATACTGCCATCCTCTAGATAAGCTCCCACTTGTCAATGTCCCTCCAAAAGTATGCTGCTTAAAGCTAAACACAAATACAAATAGACATCAAACAACTCATGACATAAATAGGACCTGCCATTTAATGAGGCTAGATGTGAGTGGCACTAATGCATCCCTCATTCTAGACATTCAGCCCTTCTCAAAGCAACCTAATTTATCCAAGCATTTAAACCATCATTACAATTTTGAAACCCTATCTATCATTTCTGAGAACCTGCTGTCTATTCATGCCTCCTCCTTGTGAAATTGATTTTTTGAACCCAAATATAAGGCTTTATATTTAATCCCCATCAAATTTCATCTTCTTGACTTGGGCCTACTGTTTTTGCTTGTTGAGATCCTTTTAGATCTAGAGTCTATTATCCAAAATATTAGCTATCCTTCCCTGGTTTTGTGTCATCTGTAAACTGTTTAAGTCTGACATATATGGCTTTATCTAAGCTACTGATAAAAACAAAAGTTTTAAATAGCATAGGGTCAAGTGTGTATCTTTGTTACCTTTGACTAGCAGGATCTTTCCAGTTTCACACAATACCATTAATAGCTTACTCATTGGTTCTGGTCATTCAAATAGTTCAAAATATACTTAATTATACTAGCACTTAGGCCCCATCTTTTTTCAGAGGAATACCATGATAGGTCTTGTTAAATACATTTCTAAAATCTAAAATTTTACCTATAGCATTTCCTTAATTTTTTTTATCTAGTAACCCTGTCAAAAAAAAAAAAAGAAATGAGAAAAGAAGAAAAGAAATGAGTCTGGTATTGTTTCATGACCTGTTACTGAGGAAACTTTGCTGCCTTTATGTGATGACAACTTCTAGTTCCTGGTCTCCCATTTCCAATCTCACCTCTCTCTGCCACCCAACTTCTTACCCCATACATAACTTATAGTATCACTTTAGGAAACATAATGTCTTTATGAGTCATTGGTGGGATGAACTTCCCTGATGCAGATTACAGCTCCTCCAAAAGCATCCTCCCCTAGAATCTTGTTATGACATAGAAACGATGTAGAATTTACCCTCTGGGAATAGAAAGGAGCTACTTGAAGTAGGCCATGAAAAATAGGTAGAATTTCAGTAGGGGCAGAGTCAGGGGTATGCTGTTAAATATTTAACAACCAGCTCTCCAAAAATAAATATGGAAGGCACACTTTTAAGTTTAATCTATGTATTAACATATTCTACATCGTTTTCTTGTCTAGATAATCAACAACAACAACAAAAATAATTCAGGCTCTGATTTGTAGTTTGCTGATTTCCAAGGTGTAGATACTCACCCTGAGAACATAATAATTGGTTCTTCTGAGCTAGTGTGAGAAGGCAGGTTCCTGTACACCTTTGTTGCAGAGGTAGGACTTTCCAGGTGAAGGGAGAAGACTGGCTTGAATAAATGAGGCATGGGGGAGTGAGGGGAGTGTTTTGCCAAGGATTAGCCTTGCTTGGAGGGAGAAAAGGAAAAGGCACTGGACTAGAATTTAGGAGGACTCAGTTCCCATCTTTACTCTACCACTGTGTGTCATCTCTGTGTCCTCAAGCAAATTGCTTCATATTTTCAGTCTCAGTCTATAAAATGGAAAGTTTGGAACATCACATAATCATTGCCTAGATGATATGTGTTCTAAGCTCCCTTCCAACTCTAATATTCAGTCTCCTAACAATTTTCAGACATTTCTCCCAGGTCTCTTGTGCTCTGAGCTTCCTTCTAGCTTTAATAATTATATATTCTAATGCTTTATATCCTAAGTTGAAAGAGTCTACTTTCTAACATCTTATGTTGTAAGGACTCTGCTAGCTCTAATATCCTATGTGCTAACACTTTATGTCCTGAGCTTAAATATTCTATGTTATAATGTTTCATGAACTAAGGTTTCTTCCAGTTAGCTATGAGCTAAAGATTCTGTGCCAGGAATGGCTTAGTTTGGACTCCGGCCCTGAGCCCAGCATCTCTAACTCCAAGGAGAGTATGGCAGTGTGGCCCAGGCAGTTACTGTACAGGTTGTTGTCTCCCCAGAGTACCCATCAAGCAGCAGTTTGATAGAAGAGCACAGATACACCAAAATAACAAAACAACAAGGGACTTGGAGATGGTAATCCTTCACTATTTATAGCCTGGGAAAGGATATGTGTGCCTTGAAGCTCAGATATTCTGCCTTCCCAGAAAACCCAGAGACTTATAATTACAGGCCCCAGGCTCTCTGATTAGCAGGGATCTCTGTCATCCTGTGGTTAACTGAATGGTGTCTCTGGCCTGGAGCTAGCTCCCAAAGCCTCACTAACTAATTATGTTATTTTGCAAACTATTTATATGATACGCCAGTGCATTGAGACAGTGACGACTGATGGGAGACAAGAGCTCAGCAATTGGTGAGTTTAATAAGGTTTGAACCTAGCTAGCTTCTGAGGCCACAATATGGTAGGGTACAGAGAATACCTTTGGCATTAAGACCTGGCTTTGAATCTCAGGATTGTGCTACCTTGGGTAAGCCATTTTATCTTTGGGGGCCTTGGTTTCTTCATATGCAAAATGGGGTTAATATCTTTTTGCAGCTGGTGGGAAATTATGAGGTGACTGCTCTAGGTACCCTCTTTTAAATAGAGGATCTGGGAGGAACTCTCCACTGTCCACCTCCCACCTTCTCTAACCAAGGGGCAGGGAATATAAGAATCAGGGCTGATGAGATCTTACAGTGAGATTCTGGAGGGAATGATGATGAAGTCCATAAAGGTAGCTGATAGGAAAATTATGAGATGGCTGTCCTAGGCCCCCTCCTTAAATGGAGGATCTGGGAGGAGCTCTCTACAATCCACTTTCCACCCTCCTCAACCAGAGGGAGAGAGTTGAGCTAAGTTCTTTCTGACTTTAAATTTAAAATTCTGCTTACTATGCTATTTCTCTACTATTGATTTGGAGCATTTTTTAATGTGGTTATTGATAGGTGGGCTTTCTTCCTTTTAAAATTGCCTTTTACCATTTATCTTTTGATCTTTTATTTACTGGAGAATTTCTCTTATTCATATAAATTTAAATCAATTCCTTAAATATTTTAGATAGGAGACTTTATAAGTATTTTCCCCAATTACCTGTTTCCTTCCAAATTTTTAGCAACATTTGGTTGTATTTATGCAAACTTTAAAAAACAATTTAGGTAATAAAAAGTGTCTATTTTGTCATTCATGTCTATCCTCCACTATCCTAAGGGGTCAGTAAATATCCATTCATTGATTTTAATTAGGTTCAGACATTTTTAAAAGAGAGAGTGTCCTCTCTATCCCTTGTTTGGTGATCAACTTTTCCCCTGCCCATATGTCTGAAAGGTAATTCTTCTTTGCTCCTCTAATTTCTTTATAATGTCACCTCATATTTAAATCATTACTTTTAGAGCTTGTCTTAGTGTGTGGTGTGAGATGTTAG